GCGCCCCCATGTAGTCCAGCCGCACTTCCTCCAGCTCAGGTCTATACTTCTGTACGGACCTGAGTCATGGGGAGAACATTGACCGAGCCTGTGCGCTGCCCCCGCGATGCACCGATCGAAGGTGCAATGCTCTGAAGGTTAAGTAGTAATAGCGCATTGATCAGAAGATTTTCCAAACGGTGGACTGAGCCTTTAATGCGTCGCATTCCTCTGATTCTGGTGACGGAGCGCCATCTGCTGGACCTGCCTCACAACTACAGTTACTGTATTACTCAGTGACTGTGTACGCAAAACTCGAACACTCAGCTGCTCATATTTGGTCTGTTACTAATACCCGTGGAAGTATTTTGTTATGTGTGTTCAATTGTTGTCCAAAAAAACTTGCTGATCCTGCCTGAAAACTGGCAATGCCTAATTGGACTTGTAGTTGCACCACAGTAGGAAGGCCGGAGTTTGCCTATCCCTCATCTATAGAGTAATCATCTTTACTGGCTCTTGGCATGGCCTGATGGGTTTAGCGGTGATCTCCTCAGTGTGTGATTTTTAATTCATAAGTTGCGGTAAAAGGTCCAAAAACTTTCCCCATTTTCGGAAGGGTGAAGTCAGGTCAGCTGTGGCCCGCCTGCATCTCAAAACTCCCATTTCCATGGCGGATTTTTCTGCTCCAAATTTCCAAATGCATTAAACTGGATTCTTCTGCCGTTGACCTTTGCAGGGCACCACTATCAACTGTGATTCCTTCAGAACCAGGGATGCACCGATACTGGTTTATTTTGCTTTCCGTACTCGCCGATACCGAGTACCGATACCAGTGCTTCCGCTGGCATGGAGCCTGGCTTCCCGGGCAATCGGGAATCCGGGAGATGGGTAATGACATGCCGCCGGACTTCCTGTCCAGGAAGCCGGGTCTCCATGTTGTTTGGCCGGCTTGATTGTGATTGGCCGGAAAACCGCCTTCCCAGTCAATCAGCATCGACCTGGCTTCCTGGCCAATCAGGAAGCCAGGTGGCGACTAATGACCTGAGCTCCCAGCTTCCTGATTGGCTGCAAAGCCAGCTTCCTTGCCAATCAGCATGGAGCAGGTTGTTCGGCCGACTTGATACTGATTGACTGAAAAGCCAGCTTCCTAGCCATCGACCCAGGTATTCAGCCAGCTCGATGCTGATTGGTCGGGAAGCCGGCTTCCCTGCCAATCAGCAAGGAGCCAGCTTCCCGGCCAATCAGGAAGCCGGGTCATTACTCGCCGCCCGGCTTCCTGGTCGCACGGGAAGCTGGCCCCATGTTTCCCTACGGCACTGCCGATCAGAGGAGATCTTCCTCTGACCATAAGTTACGGTATTGGGGAAGGTATCGGAGCATTTTGGCGAGTACGAATACTTGCCCAAATACTCGGTATCGGCACCAATACCGGTGCATCCCTATTCAGAACACACAGTCCATGGATGAGTCTCACAAGCAGCAATCCGTATGACAAATCAAAACCAGGACGATGGCTGGAAATCAGACCCCGACGGCAGATACAATGATATCACCACAATCTGTAATCCTGGTTCTAAAAAATACTGATGAGTTCCACCATCCGGAACAATCCAATGAAGAAATGTGGACAAATCATTTGGCGTTATAAACCGATATTGCGATTGATCATTGAATATACGTGCATGTAGTTGTTATATGATGTGAGCCTGAAAAGATAAGCGGAATGTTGTGGACCTTTAATTATTCTTCTTTTTCAGGTGGATGAACCGTCTGGGTCTCGCTGCTATTGGATAAACTCCGGATGAAAAAGACATCAGGCCCAATGAAGGTAAAACCGAGTTACTTGTTCTGATTTCCTCAACGTCCCGATGTATCAATATCGTCCCGATGTATCAATATCGTCCCGATGTATCAATATCGTCCCGATGTATCAATATCGTCCCGATGTATCAATATCGTCCCGATGTGTCAATATGTGTCACCGCTGGCACAGATTTATTCCCAGTTTTGCCTTTTTATAAAGCTGCTCCGGTTTGGTTTCTCAGTTGTGCCGAGTCTTAGCCGAAGTGAAAACAATGTCGGAAAAAAAGTAACAAAAAGTCATAGTTACATAGTATTTGGGGTTGAATAAAGACATACGTCCATCAAGTCCAACCTGTATAGGTCCGCGCATCATCTCATTCTTAGGGATACTGGTACCCCCGGATATTACGGTCCCTCAAGAAATTGTCCAAACGTTTCTTGAACAAATCTACACTCTTGGCTGAGATGACGGCCGATGGCAGTGAGTTCCAGACCTTAAACGCTCTTACTGTAAAGAACCCTCTTCGCCCCTTGTGCTGGAATTTTTTCTCCACCAACTTTAGGTGGCGGCCTCTAGTCTTTGTAATGGAGTTAATCTCAAACAGTTTGTTGCCAATGTTGCCGTCACCATTGAACATCTTGTACATGAAAATCATATTCCTCCTTAATTCCAGCGTGAACATGTTTAAGGTCAGAAGCCTCGTCTCATAGCTCTGGTCCTCCAGCCCCTCCCCCTTGTCTCCATAGCTCTGGTCCTCCGTTCCCCTAATTAGTTTTGTTGCCCTCCGCTGGACTCTCTCCAGTTCAAGGACATCCCTTCTCAGTACCGGCGACCAAAACTGGACCGCGTACATTTTTAAATACAATTTATCTTTTTGATTTTTTTAAAAGAAAGATATTTTCTGTCATTTGTACGCTCCCCGTATTCCAGTGGAGTTTAGATTTCCTTTGTCTTTAGCAGATTACTGGAGCGAGAGCGACCAGGATGATATTGATGGCTCCATGACCTTGAAGCAGGAACCGGCCACCACCGTGAGCGACGCCTATCACCGAAACTCCACAGTAAGTGAATCACGCGGCATTCTGATTAGACATGTGCGATTCGTTTCGTTACGAATCGAAATTCGTACGAATTTTCCATAAATTCGGAAGCATCCGAAATCCGAATGGCAGTTTCCGAATTATATCCGAAATACGAAATTTCGTTAACGAATTTCGGATCCGAATTTCTTTCAAACGGGAACTAATATTACCCCTGTAAATGAGGTTGAACAACATGACAAGATTTTTTTTTTTTATCCGAAATACGAAATTCGGATCCGAAATCCGTTAACGGAATTTCGTATTTCGTTTGGTTGACCAATCGGAGGTTTTCTCTTCTGCTGCTGAGAGTTGCATTACAATACACAGGCAGGAAATACGAAATTCCGTTAACGTATTTTCGTTCCGTTACGGACATTCGTTATGATGAAGTTAAAAAGCAAAAATACCTTTGTTAATATATTGGAGTCGATGGTAGAATTTCGTATTTCAGATAAAAAAAGAACTACCATCGACTCCAATATATTAACAAAGGTATTTTTGCTTTTTAACTTCATCATAACGAATAGGGATGCACCGATACCGATACTAGTATCGGTATCGGTGCCGATACCGAGTATTTGGGTGAGTACTCGTACTCGCCCAAATGCTCCGATACCTAGCACGAGTACTTCCTCTATCAGGAAGCCGGGCAGCGCGTCATTACACGCTGCCTGGTTTCCTGATTGGCCAGGAAACGGCTCCATGCTCTCTTGTCACTTGTGATGAGAGAGCATGGAGCCGACTTCCCGGCCAATCAGGAAGCCGGGTAGCGTGCAACGACGCGCTACCCGGCTTCCCGATTAGTCGGGAAGCTAGCAAATCCGGAAGCGGGGCGCCGTGTAATGACGCAGCGCCCGGCATTCTGATTGGCCGGGAAGCCGGCGGCATGCTCCCTCGTCATCTCATGAATCATAATATTGAGAAAGTGACCTTAAAGCATTAGTTTGTATTGCTTTAGAAAAAAATGTGACCTGTCCCTTTAAGAAAAAGTATCGGTAATTGGTATCTGCGAGTACTGGATCAAAAGTATCGGTACTCGTACTCGATGTTAGAAAAGTGGTATCGGTGCATCCCTAATAACGAATGCCCGTAACGGGAACGAAAATGTGACGAAACTAACGAAAATTCATATTTCGTACGAATCCGAATTGAGTTTCGGGCACGAATTACGAAATAACGGATATTCCCGAAACTAAACTAATTTTCTGACGGCGCACAAGTCTAATTCTGATGAGCTGCCTTCTCTAGGAAACACAGATCAGCCTAGCAGCTCGTGAGGAACATCTCGGCTTCCACCCCCTACTGGACATGCTGAGACGTGTAGTTCCCCACCAAAGCTTTGCACTATATTCCATGCAGAATCTCATGCGCTTGTTGGGTTTGCAGTCTTCTGATCTTACAAAGTGCAGCGCTACATAAACTTAGCTATAAATGAGTGTGATGTTGGGGCGCTCGCTGAGCACTCGCACAGCGTTTTTCCATGAACGAAAAGTCTTTATTGGTATTTCAAGCATCAAAATTGAATTGAACCA